AGTGCCTCATCAACATATATGGTTTCTCAGAAAGGGACATTGTTGTTCTCATTGACACTCATCATTCCTACACTCAACCCACCGGCAAGAACATCAGGTTGGCTCTGTCCAAGCTTGTCCGGTCCGCCAAGCCCCGCGACGCCCTCTTTGTCCACTACAGCGGCCACGGCACGCGTCTTCCGGCGGAATCCGACGACGAAGACAATACTGGCTATGACGAATGCATTGTTCCCACAGATATGAATCTCATCACTGGTAGGTTAAGTCTTCAACATTTCCCTACTATATTATGTTTTGATTAAGAAATTATTGGTTGAGAATTATTATGTGTTTGTACCTTGATTAATCTCAAGGGACACGTAATTAAATTTATTTATTTATTGAAATTCGATAGAAAAATTATTGTTTGTATACTTCGATGTCTATTACGTGATTATAAATTTGGTTATTTTTATATGATATATAATTGAGTTGCGTATAAAATGTAATATTCTAATTTTAGTAGCTAAAAAATAAGGGGTTATAAAATTAATAAAAAATAAGATTTGTTCCAATTTATATATAATACTAATTTAGTTATTTAAAAAATAAAAATAAATATATCTAAAAGAGTTAAATATAATTATTAGACAAACAAAAAATGTAACATTACAAATTCTTTACTAGAAATGTTTATACATGTATCCTTAAGTTAGTGTTTAAAAGAAAACTTCATAAAATAATTTAACACATCACGTATTATTTCAACATTTATAACATTTTATAATTCATAAATATATAATTAGTTGATTATAGACTTAATTATTAGGATAAATGTTTTGACATATGTATTCAATATAGGTGTGCACCCATAGTAGTATTTATATTCTAAAGAGTCATAAATGTAGGGATTATCACCCTATACTCACGATGTTAATCTTTCACACCTAAACCAAAAGTTTAGGATAGACCTCTTGTCATTCTCTCCCATTCCATTCATCTCTATATAAGTTGAATGATTGGTAGTATATCAGGATACCTACTTTTAGAATCCCCACATGTCAAAGTACGCACTAACAACATCACCACCAATTCCTCCTTGGATTGGTTCCAACCATTCTCAATTACGCATCAGAAACTAGTCGTCATATTATCATACATGCATAAACGTCATACATACTCATAATCATATTATAAACCAATAATTGTTTTTTAATATTCACATAATCACACTTCGTAAACACATCATCAGAGATATATGAAAACTTAGTTAAAATTTTGGTATTTTCGCTTAACCACCAAATTTGTTCCCTCAGCACATTAGTGCTTGATAGTACACTCGCTCAGTGAAAAAACGACTATAACTTACAGACTCAAATTCTCCAAAAAAATCGTCCAACGAGTATATTCTTGCCTAGGGACCGTCAAGTTAGTGAACTCTCTAACTTTGACTTGCCCATCGAGTATATTCTTTTTCAGCGAGTATGCACAATTCTGCAAAACAAAATTCCACATATTTATGTCATTCCATCCTACAAAACTAGTCTAACACCAACCACAAATGTTATAAACCAACCAATTCTTAGATCATATAAATTTCAACAATACAATTCACTCCAAATACAAGCTTCCTAATTGAAATCAAGATGCCATATCTCATTTGACAACAATTACATAATGCAACTGTCATGCAAGCATACAAGCATCAATCATAACTTTCCTATTAGCTAAAATCAAACTAATTAGCTTCCTTTACCTGATAGATGACCAAACAACTCTAGGATTCTAAAATAGCTCCAAAAGCTCAGGAAGCTCTATGTGCTCCTATGAACAAAACAAACACAATCAAGATACACCATTAAAATCACTGATCAACAAAGACTCAAAAGACACATGCAAGCTAAGTGGAGCCTACATGCAACAAATACACGAAAGGACCAAGAAAAATTATTGAAACTCAACTTACTCAAATAGAGAATGGTCCAAATTGAAGAGTTCACCACCATGATCAATCTTGTGATCTTGGTTCTTCCATTAACTATGAAAACTCTTAGTGAGAAGTCAGAAAACTCAAAAAAAGTGGTTTCTAAAATATTGTATGTTTTGAAATAATGTTATAACGAAACCATTTATATTAAAACAACTTAATATTAAAATAATCAAATTGTACTAAAAAATATAAAAAAATATAAATTTCTAAGTCTTTACATATAAGTCATTTAAAATTGTAGATATAGATGAGCTGAAATAATACAATGATTTTTAATTTATGTAGCAATATCTCTTTTCAATATATATATTTTTAAAAGATTTTAAAAATATGGTTTATATATATAGTGTGAAAAATTGATTATGGAAAACTTAAAATATTGCATATTTAAATATATTTTTTCTTATTTTGAAACTTTTATCTATTTGTGCGTAAGAGGTACGGGCAGAGGAGGAGTTGTAATTCACAGCAATTTTAAAATTTTCGTTGAATTTCAATAATAACAATCAATATTTATTTTTTAATATTGATCACATTTAATTATAGGCTTAATTAATGAAGGTATTTTCAATTTAGCTTTTATTAATTTTTTTTTTTTTATTTTTTTTTTAAAATTTTTTTTTTTTTTTTTTTTTTTTTTTTTTTTTTTTTTTTTTTTTGTATTTGTTTTTTTTTTTTTTTTTTTTTTTGTTATTAATTTTTATTTTTTTTATTTATTTTAAATTTTTAATTATTAATTTTTTTTTTTTTTTTTTATTGAAAATAGAACATCTTTATCACCTACATTAATGGTAGTGATGATTAGAGTCTCTTAACTGTTGTAGTTGATAATATGGAAACCATCGATAAACTTGACAGCATCATATATATCATACTCTCAATTAAAAAGTAATATAAGTCACTAATAGTTTTGTATTAATTATAATATTAGTTTATATTTTATACAAAATTTTATATTAATTTTTTAATACTTAAACAAGATATTGAAACAATAAAAATGTCACGTGAGTTAACATAAAATTTAAATCATAGACTTTTAGTTAAAAAATATTAAAGTTTTCAGTTTACATGGAATTTAAACTTTTATAATTCTTGAGTTATTTTCTTTATTTATGGATGATTGGTAATGAAAACTTTTAAGCTCGAAAAAATGTAGAAATTCATAAGTAATGTAAGGCTTTTCATACCTATCAAGTTTTAAAACATAGTTAATGCAATAACAAGGTTTCTTAATATTTATGTGATCGTCTCACTTGGAAACATAAATACGGAATAAGAACAAAAGTTCACATATTTGATAACGTACCACAAGAAATTCATCAAAAGAAAATTTTAAAAAGTGTTAGTAGAACTTCAATTTTTCTTACATTAAAAATATATAGTATATTTACAACAAAATACGATGTTTTCAATTGTCAAATTTTTGGAATGTAAAATCCATAGATGTATTATATTGAGTGATTCTTTGGGAAGGCAGGCTAAGTTGTATTTTGTGTGGAACAGATGATGATTTCAGACAGCTTGTAGACAAGGTCCCAAGAGGTTGCAATATAACAATCGTTTCAGATTGCTGCCACAGTGGTGGCCTAATTGAAGCAGCAAAGGAACAAATAGGAGACAGCACAAACGAAGAAGGCTACGTTTCAACCTCTCTATTTCACTTCAAAACCTTCCTTCATCGAAGCATGCACCAAGAACAACAAGAAGAAGAAACCACTGTGAAGAACCGATCTTTGCCTCTCTCAACTCTCTCAGACATACTCCGGCATAAAACTGGCAACGACATAGAAACTGGGAAACTAAGGCGTACACTCTTCCACATCTTTGGTGAAGATGCAAGTCCCAAAGTGAAGAAGTTTTCAAATTTAGTCATGAACAAACTCCAACATGTAAAAAGTGGTGATAGTGGAGGGCACAGAGTTGGGGATGTGAGTAATCTTGCAGAAAAATTCTTCGAACAGAAGCTAAATTATGATGGTGATGAGGTGGGAAAACGTGGGGGAATCAGGAAAGAGGAACATGCTGCATCAATCAAGCGCAATGTTTTGGATTGTGGGATTCTGCTGAGTGGTTGCCAGAGTGACCAAACTTCTGCAGATGCATGTCCTGCTGGGAATTCTGGGTCAGCTTACGGGGCTTTCAGCAATGTGATTAGAGCTATAATTGAAGAGAGTGAAGGAGCAGTGACAAACCGGGAACTTGTGCTGAAGGCTAGGATGATACTTAAGAAACAAGGTTTTTCTCAGAAACCTGGTCTCTATTGCAGTGACAGCAACGTTAATGCTTCCTTTGTGTGTTGAATAAATGATTAAGAATTTGTGGGGTTTGGTTTGGTAGTGTTAATCGGAGACCATTAAAAACATGTGTTTTTTTTTTTTGTTTTTTAGTTAGAATATTCAAAAACTTAAAACTTGGTATCTTTGCTTAGGATGAGACGTGATTTTCTCTATGGATTTGGCTGGTTTGTTCTATTACCTCTAGATAAATGATATTATCTATCCATTAAACCTCATGTTAACCCTAATTAATTTTAAGTAGTACAACTGTGTTTTTCACCTAATAGTTTTAACTGACTAGACAACAAATCCTTTAGATCGGCTATACTGTGATTTATCCTAAAGCTGAGTTGCGTGATTTAGAATATTCGTAACTTGTATATCGTTTGATTTTAATATGGTTTTACGATTGGGATCAGTTGGTGTTGTAATTAGAAGGTCTTTGAATCATTGGGTGAAGCAGAGGCTTTTGGAAGGAGTTTGTTTTGCCAGAAACATGAAAGGTAAGTTGGCTCTTTGGATTGATTTTGAAATATGTTCCTAACAAAATGCTTTAATACATCCAAATATTTAAATAAGTATCTTTACTTATTTTTTATTTTTCTCTTTCTTATAATAATATAAAAGTTTACATTTTTTCGATTATTTTATTTTTATAATCTGTATGAAATAAACGGAAAAGTGTCTCATAACATCATTATTCATATGTTTAAAAGTGGTATGATGTATTTTTGAACGAGTATCTTCTCTACTCTGCACCAACACTTCTTCCCATTATCTTGGAGTGAGAGAAGGAAAAGCCTACCAGGTTTAATCAAATGGGCCTCTGTTCAAACCAAAAAAAAGCCCTTTTATTGAAAAGCAAATAGAAAGATGATTGTGAGTTTTATTTTCCAATTTAAAAATTCATATTGGTTTTAAATCAATGTATATCTGCAATATTGAAAAACAAAAACTGCAAGTATCCAGCAAGTAACAAAATAGGTAATATGTACGAGATAAATATTATCCGACCTGTATCATTTCTAATCAAAACGACGTCACTTAACTATTGGAGTGGGCTTTTATCTTTTGACGTCCCTTTTTGGCTGAAGCTAAAATGCAACATTCTTGTAAAGTTTTCAACAAATATAATAGTATTTTTTAGAAAATATATTTTCAAGTATTGATTATAGTCTGCAACAGCAAAGAAATGTTTAGACAAAAATTATAAAAATGTTACCTATATTAAACCATAGGCTATACTTTTTCAAATATGAAAATAAAATGATATATACAATATTATTTTAAATTTTGTTTGAATATTTAGGGGACTATATTTTAAATAATATATTAATAATTTTATTATAAAATATTAATTAAATAAATGTATCATATTAACATATATAGTTGAAATAAAATAAAATAAACAAAATTCGAAGTATTAATTAAAACATTTCTAATATATTATGGAATTTAGAGTTTATACATATATTTTAAAATTGCATTCCAATATTGTCTACACTTTCATAATTAAAAGTAATTAACAAATATTATCTTCAAAATAAAGAGAGAACAGATAATTCAATCATTACTCAAGAGCACAAATATTTGTAAGCAGTAAAAATTTCGAACATAAAAAAAATAATCATTCCTCTTAATATTATCTTAATGTCCAACCTAAAAAAATTAAAAGAAGAAATATTAATATTTTAAAATATGAACAAGTTTTTAAATAAGATGACATGAATATAGAGTTCCATACTTGACTAATTTATTTCAACTTCCAATTCAAGAAACGTAGAAAAAACATTTAAATTAATTTTTACAATATTTAACAATTTATTTATAAAAACTTAACAATTTTTATTGAAAATGCAGAATCAATATAAGAAATAAAATAGATTTTATATCCTCCAATGTGATATGGGAATAAATAAAAATATTTCAAATAATGCATATATAATATAGATATTTATGATTATATATGAATTATTTCTTAATTCTATAACTATAACATATATCTTATGTAAGTAATAAACATTTATCATATTCATCATTCTCTCAAAAAGTTTCCAGACCAAGAAAGACAACTCGCCCATTCATTATAAATAATTCTTGTCGATGAAACGTTATCGATAAAAATAAATCTGTTAGTAATATATATATATATATATATATATATATATATATCAACTGATTTTACCATAAAAAATAAATACATAGATAAAATTAGTCAGTAAATTAAGGGTTGAATTATTAAAAAAGTATTTGTTGATAAATATATATAGTAAATTTTGTTGATAAATTTTTTTAAAAACTAAAATTGTTATTATAGACTGTGAGACCCGGAAAAATTAACACTGCAATTATCTGTCACATCAACATTAATGCACACGCCACGTCACTACTCCGGGTAATTAAAACCCACTTTACATTGCATGCACGAGCGCCATGTGTCGAGTTGGAAACTTCTGAAATCAGAAGTGGGGGTGCAGGTGTCAGCACACGAGACGCTCGTTCGTCGGGGATTGGAATGAACAAAAGTGATTTTCGAAAAAACCCTTCCACTCACCTGCACCACTCATCTTCTTCCTCAGAACCCAACCTCTCCTTTTCTCCCGCTTCTCTCTAAAAACCTCCAACTTCTCTCTACTGTTACTTAGACATCTCTTCTCCGTTTAACATTCAGAACTGTAGGAACGTTCCCTACGCCGTGAACTTCATTTTGGTCCGAACAACTTCAGATTCTGTTAACGGTAAGATTTCCAACTCATACGCTCGTTTCTGGAGTTCTTGCGAACCCAGATTCAGTTGCATGCAAGGGTATAAGTTGATATCTTCTACGTTTCTTTGGTTAGACTTAGTTGAAGAGTGTAAGAACGATCGTGGAGGGTAGAAAACCATAAGTTGGGCAAGTCCAAGTGATACTCTTAGAACGAACACTGCTATCCAGGTAAGGGAAGCTTATATGTTTAATTTATACTTGAATGTGGTATGATCTGATTTGGATGTATGAAAACGTATGCATGTTGATGACTGAAATGCATGTATGTAGTATGAATGCGAATGTATGATGTATGATGATTGAGATGTGTGATCATGAACATGGATGTTTATGTTGTATGAAGTAAATCTGTATGATGATGTTGAATATGAAGTAATTGGAATGAATGTTATAAAGTTTATAAATTGAAAATCATATGAATTATAAAGTATAATTTTAAATGTTGAAATCTGAAATCTGTTATGGTTGGAAAATCTGAAACGTAAATCACTCCCTATGATAAATTACGCTCGTCACCGTACGGTCTTATACCGTTCGGTTTCCCTGAAAATAACTTAGAATGGAATTCTTTCATTTGGGAAGAACTCCGCTTGAGAGCGAGCGTCCCCATTTAAATGTCTGAGCGTTCGGTTCAGCTCAGCTGTATATAAATACTTTACACTTTAAAATATGTAACGTTCGGTCTTATACCGAACGTTCGTTCTAAACAACGCTCGGTCTTAAACCAAGCGTTCGTCCTAAATAGCGCTCGGTGTTAAACCAAGCGTTCGTCCTAAAGAGCGCTCGGTCTTATACCAAGCGTTCGTCATGGTTGATTCTCGGTCATCTACCTAGCGTTCGCTTTGATGTAGTGTTCGGTCTTAAACCGCACGCTCGTCCTTATCTTTGATTCCTTAACGAACGTAAATAGCGTTCGTTCAAATATTACAATATTCATCCTCTTACGTTCGTTCAAATACTGG